ATGAGACATGGGAACGTATCCAGGAGGGCACCACCTGCTCGTGACGTTGGAGTGTGTCTAGTGTGGTTAAAGTTCAGCAAAGAGGTAGACATGGCTGGAATAGTGAGGCTGATCTGAGGGGAAATACACACTGAGAAGGTTGGGATGGAGGATGAGGAATGGTGCAGCCGACCCCTGAAATAGCCTTGACTTTTATTCTGAGCAAAATGGAGAGCCATTTGAGTGGAGGGATGCTAGGAAATGATAAATTTTCATAGGATCATACTGATTGGTGTGTGAAAAGAGTCTGAAAAAGGGCAGGGATAGATCAGGAAGACCCTTTTCAGTAGTCCAGGCAAAGCAAGATGAAGGCTCAGGCCAAGAGCAGCAATGGGCATGACGGGACGTGGTTGAATTCTGGATATATGTTGGAGAAAGAACCAGTAGGATTTGCTTCTGTATTTGATATGGGAGGCTAAGAGGGGGGGGAGAAATAGCATTAAATAAGGCTCTGAAAATTTTGGTTTGGTTGTCTGGAAGGGTTATGTTCGTGGGCCATCAAGCTGGGGAAAGGCAGCAGGAGGAGCAGGGGTTTGGTGCTGAACATACTGAGTTTAAGGAGTTTGTTGTCTTGGTAACAAGGTCAAGTAGATATTTGAGTATAAAAGTTTAAATGCAAGGCAGCTCTGGTGGCCTAGTGGCAAGAAGCTGTGCTACAATCCTGAAGGCATGTAGTTCGAATCCACCAGATGCTCCTCTGGAGGAGGGGCAATTTCCTCCTGTGCCAGTCAGATCCAATTTGATGGTACACAAGAAGAAAAAAGGAAAAGTTTAAAAAAAAGTTTGAATGCAAAGGGAATTCTACCTCTTGATATAAATTTGGGAATTGTTGGTACCTGCATGGCATTTAAAGTCATAAAATTACATTTCTTAAGTATGCAGGTAGACAAATAGGAAAAAAGAGAAACAAGCACTAAAACCTTAGCCCTTCAAATTCAGAATCTGGGTAAAAGAGAAGAAGCCAGAAAAACAGACAGTAAATAAGCAGAGAGTTAGATGAGAAGAAAGTAGGGTTCTGGAACCCCAATGAAAAAATATCTTCAAGAAGAGGAAGTGTAATAGATGTTCCTTACTTGCTTGACTTTTTAAACCAATCTTCCTAACAAATGCAAGAAAAATATCATTTAATCCACTTCTGCTTACAGGATGCATTTGTATAATGTGAAAGAAGATACTAACTTAGTTGTTTCTGCCTCTAGTCTGGAATAGCTTTTATAAAACTTGTGATTTATAGAATATCTGAAACTGCTCGATAGATTTAGGGCCTGTTGTGTTACGTGGCCTCCCCTGGAAGGTGACAGTGTGCACTGGTATATCAAAGGTTCTGAGAGGTCCTGCAGCAAGCAAACAAATGAGCAAAGGTCTCACTTTGAACTCCGAGGATTCAGAACTTACTTGACCTCATCCTTCTGCCTTCTCGCGAATCATCTATAAACCATGCTGTGGTGTTCTCGTGCTTTGTGGAATATTAGTTAAGAAACTGTTCAAGAAGACTTGACATTGGTCAGAGATACTGTTTGGGGCTCATCATTTCCAAAGACAGTTACATGAGATAAAAGCCAAGATTCTTTCTAGTGATTTTGATTCTAAAATATAGGCTTACCTGATAGGTTTAAATATGGGTTATAAGTAGGATTCAGAAGAAAAACTAATTTGGCTAAAAATATGTCTGTGTTATTAATACTTTATAATAAGATGACTGTTATGTGCCATCGAGTTAGAGTCCACACAGAGCTGACCCTCCAGTGGGTTTTCAGAATCTTTATGTCCCTTTGAAGGAGGTTGTCTATCTTTCTACCACCTGCCTTTGAATCTCATTATTAGGCCACCAAAGCTCCCTAATAAGATGACTATCATCCTAGATAAAATTCTAACCTAATATGTTGCTGACTACCATCACTTATATAATGAATAACCCAGTGCCTCCATCTAGTCTATTTCAATTCATAATGACCGTACATTGGATTTCCAACCTGTTTACCTTCATGAGAAGAGACTGCCCATCTTTCTCCCTTGGAGGAGCCAATCTTTCAGTTATGACCATGTTATTGTTTTTCAGTGACACTGAGTCAACAATGACTCATAGCAACCCAATGAATAGGTTGAACCTTGTCCTATCCTGCACCATCCTCATACGCCACCATAGTAAACACAAAATCCACTGTCAAATCAATTCCTACAAATGCTGTAGGACAGAATAAAACATTCCTTTAGGATTTCTGAGACTGTAAAAAAAAAGTATTTTATTTTAATACAACTGATATTTATTGACATCAATATAAAACAAGCTAAAAGCTAACTACTTAACAGGGAAAAATATTGGTGGTGTTTCCTTTCTGTAGACTTGAGTTTATGCACTCAAATCGTGAAAGCTCAGATAAAGACTGGATTGTCAAGAATCAAGCAAGAGCTTGATTTTTACCTACTAATATTTAAAAAATAATAAAGACAAAGTGAGATGTTTACAAATATTCTTTGTGCCAACCTCATGCAAACAAATAATCAAGACACTCAAACTAATTTCTAACATTTGAGGACATGACTACTTTCATTTATATTCAGCAGCAATTTATCTCCATGTTTGGTGGAGCTCCCCGGTTGAAACAAGCTTGGAAGCAGGAGTGGCATCTACTTCCATAAATAGCTTGTCTCCTGAAACCCTATGAACCTGGAGAAAGGACAAAAGTCACACAAATGTTGAGGACTTTCATTCATACGGTCACTATGAGTCACCTATGACTCGACGGCACTTAACAACATGTACTACACTTACATGCTTGTTGCATCTACAGTATACAAATTAATCATTCTCACCAACTGTGCACAAGAACGAAATCCAAACAAGACTTCGAACTGACTGATTCTGTTCCACTCAAACTCAGGAAATTGAACTCAGGATTAACAGGACCATTTGATGTGAGATCGAGCTCTCCTATTTACTCTCTTGCCATACACAACTAGGTCCTCACTTGACCCTTTGAGCCTGCGAGTGACTTCTATCTTCTATCTTTTCTGACACTTTAAAATGAATGTGTAGAAATGACAAAAACATTGTACTTCAGGTTGTGAACCTGCCATCTGATCCTTGTTTTGCCTCATTACATAACTCCCTTTCAATAGACCCCACCAGCACAGCGACCCTACACCTCTCTCTGTTCCTTTGCCCTGAAGGCACTTCTGGATTCTGGATTGCTTTAATCCTTGGCTGCATAGGCAATGAGGGCACCATTTAGATTCATCACTTTTCTCCCCCTTCTTTTCTATGACTGCATTCTTCCCGCCTTTCTCCCCCCTCCCACAACAGCTGAATCTATAAGCTTGGTGGTGTATCCGGTGGACAGAGTTAATTCTGGCTTGGTAAAGAGCTGCATTGCTTGGGTGGTCCTTGTTCCTTATGCAAACCCTCTCAACCACTTCCCTCTTCCCTCAAATACCTGCCCCCCACACACCCTGTTTTTCTGGATTGCTAAGAGATTCTGTTCTTTCTTTCCTTTATCCCTAAGTGTGTTTTTATTTTTTTTTCAGTTCTTCTTCTTTCCTTCTACTTTTTGTTCTTTTGCCTACTGCATTCATCTTCTTGCCACTTTAGTCTCTCTCTCTCTCTCTCCCAAAGTATATGTTCTTGATCTCTGTCATATCTTTTCCCCTCTCCCTGTAGTTTGTGCAACTTTCACATTCAGAGCTCTTTGGCTTTTCATCTGTAAAGTTCAACATCAGAATACCTGGTCAATGCACAACTCTGCCTGCTGGTTCTTTCATCATTCAGACTCTTGTTTGTTTCTTAGGCTTTTCTCTTGTATCAAATTATTTTTTTTTCTGGCTTCTTCAGTTTGTAACAGAAACCTGTGTACCTTTTTTTTTTTTTTTTTAAACCTGTGTACCTTAATCTTTGGTTCATCCTTTATCCTTTTCTGGAACTCTGTCTTCTTAGCTTTTCTCTATCTTTCCTTTTTCGTTTCTCCTCCTCTTCCCATTTCCTTCTATCTTCTTCACTTTGTCTTTTTCTATTTCTCACCTCCTTCTTCCCACCCCCCGCCCATTTTCTGCTTGTTTTTCAGAAAGCTCAAAAGTGGGGTTGTCTTTTTCGCTATTTTGGGGTTTTTTAACTTCTATTTCCTCTCACAGGGCCTCTGGAATAGATGCCATGTTCTCATTGTCTGTCGTGTAACTTTCCAAACATTTTCTGTCTCTGGATCACCATCAATAGTTCTAACTTTCCTATCTCTTCTCTTAGTCTTCTTTCTCGCAGCTTTTCGAAAAGGTGCAAATTCTACTACAACAGGATAGTCTTGACCTTCATTATCAAGGAAAACATAACTGTCAAAAAGATCCCTGAACAAAATAACATCCTCTTGGTTGTTAAAGTTTATTTATGCCCAGGTATACATATGACGATGCAGACTCACCACCTTTTTTTCCCTCCCTCCAAGTTGCATCGTGTTAATCTCCTTTGCAGCTCTCCCCCTGAAGTCCCAGTCTGGCTGATGTGGCTGCAGCATGTAGCCTGCACACACACACACCGTGAGGCCTGAGCAGTGTCATTACTTCTCCTTGGTCCCATGTCCCTCTCCTCTTTCATGGCCACAGCTAGGTTTCCCTTACCTACCGCGGGGTCTCGAAGCTATAAATTCTTAAGGAAGCAGAATACCTCCATTGAGTGACTAGTGAATTTGAACTATCAACCCTGAGATTAGTAGCCAAGCTTTTTAAGTACTGAAACTCCTTATCTAAAAAAAGTATTGTCTAGCAAGTCAATCAGAGTCATAAATTGAACCTCCAAAGCTAAATCAAAGAGATTCCCCAAATATCTATACTGAAATACCACAGCGAGTCTAAAAAGGGTGAGAAGAAACGAAGTGAGAAGTTAAGACTTTACTAATGTATTCTGTGGGAAAAGCTTATCTCTGCTCAGAGCACAGGTCTCATAGAAAACAGTTTATCCTTCAAAATTTTGTTTCCAGAATTTGGCCTCTGGAATAAAACAAATCGCTGAGTTCTTTGGATTCTCGCTAACCGGGGAGCAGATCGACACCATCTCGGCCCTCAGCACCTTTGAAGCGATGCGTGCAAGGTCTCAGGTCACCCACGGTGCGGTGGGCCCGTTCCTGTTCCGCAAAGGTAACACTGCATTGGTCCTGGGGGAGAGGATCTGTGAGAGAATGACTGTCACATTGTCACATGCAACTGGCTATCCCAGGAACACTGGCTGTATTATAACCGGACTCTATTTTTTTTTTTCCTTCCTCAAAGAAAAGTCTGGACACATGCAGTTCAGAGCTCCGTAACTTTTGGAGGTCTAGGCTGCATCTACCGATCAGCTTCTCACTTCAGGGCAATGAAATAGTGGGTGGAATTCCACCATGGCATCAAAATTCTAGATCAGAAAAGGGAAGAAGCAAACATTATACAGAATCCTGTACTAATGAGCCTCCCTCCCCTTTTCAAGAGTTTTACTGACAATCTCACTCAGTGACTTCTTACCACCTTTTGCTACAGTAGATGATTGGAAAAGGTGGTTTTCTTTTCATTTTTTTCAAACTCAGCATGTCACTTCCCAATTAAAATCAGTGTTTTTGTTAATAAGGAAAAAGGGAGGGGGGAAGGAATGGTGGACAAAACTATCTCTGACATTGATGAATTTATAAAACTTTTAAAGAATTATCATTTCTAATGAAAATGAATTAATTTTTTTAATGACAATATAGCTTAAGAAATGCTTATCGTATTTGTTACTATGTTTATAGATAATGAAGCTACAATAAGATTTAGAGGCAATCTGTATAACAATGACAACCATAACTATGACTTATCAGAAGTTTAAGATGTATCAAAAGCCACTTTTTTGGGTTTAGCTTTTACAACAAAAAGGGTATTAGTTCTTAATTTGGCAAATGTTGAAAAGGTCAAGGACATTAATTATTCATTGGACTCAGAGTTTGAACCTAGGTCTCTTTAGCACAAATGAGGACTCATTTAAAAAACTCTGAATGAAACACTGAAAATACACTTGGCTTTAGCTTGATTTTTACTAACTTAAACTCTGATTTTTAGTCTTGTTCCATTGTTCAAAAAACTTTACTATCAAGTTGGAACTGATTTTTGGCAAACTCTTCAGCTGCTTTTTAGAGGCTGATAATCACACAGGAAGAGAGTACCTGTTTTTCTCCTTCAGAACGGCTGGTAGATTCAAAGCACCTGCCTTTGGGTTGGCAGCACAACTTCCTACCCACTGGGCTTCCAGAGCTCCCCAGTTTCATTATTAAGAAGTGGGAGTAATGGAACCTTCCTATACATTTTTAATAAAAACTGTTTAGAATAGAAAAACAGTAAAATAAATAATTTTTTAACTGTATAGTCCATTGAGAAAATTCAGAAAAATAAAAAAAATCCATATATATATTTGTTGTTAGGTGCTATTGTGGTCATAGCGACCATAGATTAAAAGGTCTGAACTTTGTTCTGTCCTGTACCATCCTCACACTTCCTGAAACACAAGAGCCCCTTGCAGTAGTCACCATGTCCATGTGTATGTGTATACACACACACACACACACACACACACATACACTAGTATGCTGAGAAACCCAGTGTGGCCGTTCTACTCTATCCTATGTGTCACTTTGAATCAGAGTCGAAGGAATTGAATGAGGGCTTCATTAAAACTTTCTATAAATTGTTAACTTCTCACGAGGCATTTAAAGTATATAGAAGATTCTAGAGAAAAATCATTTCCCCAAAATGGAATTTTAGGTTCTGTGTATTGGGAGAGGAATGAGAGTAGAAAATTGATGCTGAAGCCCTGCCCCACTGCCAGCTGACCTGTAGGGCCGAGTTGAACTGCCATAGAACTGCCGAGGCTGTAATTCCTTAGGGAAGACACGCCACATCCTCCTCTCAAGGAACAGCTGGTGAGTTTCACTACTGACCTTTTAGTTAACAGCCTCATTCTGGAGCCACTCTGCCACATCACTTGCTAGACCACAGAAGGAGAAACATTAAAGGTATATTGTTGATTTTACAGCAGAAATCTAAGACTAATTGTTTTCATGTGTCCATTTTCACATTTCAGAATAAAACATTATACTGAAAAACTGTAAAATCAAGAACTATTCTCAGGAGATGTCTGAGTATATTGGGTCTTATTTGTTTGTTTTGCATATGTTCTAGGCAAAGTTGGTGACTGGAGGAATTTATTTCATCAAAGTCAGAACCAGGAAATGGATGAAAAATTCGAAGCGTGCTTAGCAGGCACTTCTGTAGGAGTCAAGCTGAAATACAATTCATATTGTCAGGCTTGAGTAGTCTGGTCACATCCACAAAAGTTTCCCTCTTACTTAAATCATAATAAATAAGAATTCAATAAAATTATTAAGTAGTCCTTGGAGAGGGTCATCATGCTTGGAAGGGTGGTGGGACAGAGAAAGAGAAAGAGGGGCGGACCCTCGATGAGATGGATTGTTTCAGTGATGGGGTAATCGGGGTGGGTGTGTCAGAGACAGTAAGTTGGCATAGGATAGAGCAGGTTTCAGGGCTGCTGTACACAGTGTCGCTGTGAGTTGCAGGTGACTCGAAAGCACATAACAACAAACAACAATGATAATGAAATAATTAAAGAGCCCAACTTACTGCTATGACATCAACTTCAGAGCACGAGGTAGGGAGCTTTGGGGTTAGCAGTGTATTATGCTGATTACACCACCAGAGCGCCTAACTAAATAACATACAATCCAAACAACATGCCCAAGTAACATACAATCTAAAGGTAACACACAACCTGAACAATGAACGCTAGCATGATAAAATCTGAAATTTTTAAGCACAAATTTACATATGTTCTGTTTCTCACACTCTCATACTCACTACCATCAAGTCAGAACCAGATTTTCAGAGGCTGTCAGGATAGGGATATTTGTCCTTCTAAAATGATACTCCTGATTGGAGGAAGACTCATCAACAATCTGGGTTATGCAGATGACACAACCATGCTTGCGGAAATTGAGGAGGACCTGAAGTGCTTGCTGCAGAGGGTCAACAACTGTAGCCTTTAATCTGGACTGAAGCTCAATATCAAGAAAACAAAGATTCTCACCACTGGGCCAATTGGCAGCATCATGATAGATGGTGAAGAGATTGAGATTCTTCACAGCTTTAGTTTGCTTGGCTTCACAATCAGCACTCTTGGTACCAGCAGCCAGGAAATTAAAAGACGTATTGCGATGGAAAAGTCTGCTGTTAGGGACCTTTCCGGGGAACTGAGGAGCAACAATGTCAGTCTGGAGACTAAGGTGCGCCTGATACAGGCCATGGTCTTTGTAATCACTTGCTATGTATCAGAGAGTTCAAAAATGACTAGGAATAATAGGAGAATTGATGCCTTTGAGCTGTGGTGTTGGAGAAGAATGTTGAATGTACCATGGACTGCCAGGAAAACAAACAGGTACATCTGGAGAAGGTGAAGCCAGACTGCTCCTTGGAGGCAAGGATACTGAGACTTCGTCTGACAGTTTGGGCATATTGCAAGAAGGGACCAGACCTTGGAGAAGGACATCATGCTTGGGAGGGTGGAGGGACAGTGCAGGAGAGGAAGACCCTCTATGAGATCGATTGATTCGGTCTCTGAGGTAATAGGGGTAGGTGTGTCAGAGTCAGTGAGATTGGCACAAGATAGAGTAGGGTTTAAGGCTGTTGTCCATAGCATTGCAACTCGATAGCACATAACAACAACAACAAAATCAGACTGTTGTTCTATCAATGTTTTAACGTCTTTACCTCTAAGTTTACAAAAAACCCCAAGTGCATATGTTGGAGCTTTGCTTGTATGACAAACCTTGGTGATGCACAATTATTTTGTCCAACCTCACAGTCCTTTCTCTCTCTGGACAGAGCATTTTTTCAAATTAAGATTTTAATGAAAGTTTATAGAGAACTTGGATTTCCATTCATTCATTGTTATACATTTTCTTCCCTGTCCATCCCAACCCCTAGTTCGTTTTTCTCTTTCAAAAGAAAACAAAATTATTTCATTGTTATGGAATCCCCTACCCCAGTCTACTTTACTATGCAGCTCTTATTCTGGACTCTTTGTCATGCAATAATACCTATATTCCTTTTATATTTTTTCTTTTTTTAATATATTCCTTTTAAACAGTCGTCTCCCTCATCTGTTTCAATGCAGTGTACATTATTTATCCCCTTTTACTTTCCCCCCAACACCAGAGTTAATTACAACTTTGCATTAAATTGAGACAATTAAATTCTATTCTGATTAAAGAAAAATATATTGCTCATCTACTGTGTGTAAAACATTGTGTTAGGCCATGTGTAGACTTCACACTCAAGGAACATTATGTTTCTATTTGATGCAGTCTTTAATTCAATGCCAAAAAGGAAAGACTGCTATTCTACCAATATAGCCTTTCCTATCACAGACCCCAAGTTGTTATGTGAAACAAAGAAGAAAGTAGAGAATGATCTGGGGGGGAAATCACCTTGAAGAATGTTATGCTGGAAAGGTGGAGGGACAGTGCAGGAGGGGAAGACCCTGGAGGAGTGGCATTGATTCATTGACTGAGGCAATGTGACCAGGTGTGTCAGAGACAAGGAGACAGGCTCAGGATAGAGCAGGGTTCAGGGCTACATAGGATCCCTATGAGTCTAAGGTGACTCGATAGCACCTAACAACAACGACTTGAACTGACAACTTGCAGCCTCTTACTAATCTTTACTATTTACACAGCACTTATTTCTACTCTTACGCATATCTTAAATGCCCACAGGGAGTTCTGGTGGCCTAGTGGTAAGAAGCTGAGCTGCAGACTTGAAGGCAGGAGATTCAAATCCACCAGCTGCTCTGAGGGAGAAAGATGGGCAATCTCCTCCCTTGTCATTAAACTGCCTCTGAAAACCTGACAGAGGGTTGGCTTGGGGTCGATTCCGACTCAGTGGTACACCATCACCACAAATGTGTGTAAATGGAATTGAATGACACAGAAATGCAAGTGAAAGAACTTTTAAAAACATTATAGGACAGTGATTTCTGGCATTATAGTAGGACCGAAAAACTCTACCCTTAAAAGATCAAGAAATGGATTAAAAAGAAAAAAAAATTCCTTTAAATTTGTACCTTCACTCCCAACAAAATAATCATCCTCCTCAGGTCAAAATCAATGAGAAAACAGGTAAATAGAACAAGAAAGAACTAGACGTGAAATGGCCCTACTGTTGGGGCATTTATCATGATACAGGGGGTGGAGGTTTCTAAGGCTCAGCCCATTTGATTGATGCAGGAGTAGACAATAGGCCAATGACAGATTCTCCAAATCAGTCTAGATGCATAAGGAAACTTGGAATATGACAAAGACAACATTGGAGGTCATAGTAAGATAACAAACTCCTCAACATTTGGTACTTAGACAGTTGGCGAAGTTAGAAAAAATAAAACAACAAACCCTCAAATTCGCCGTCGCTGAGGTGATTCCGACTCACAACATCCTCCATCTGCTTTCTGACACTATAAATTGCAACAGGAAGACACTGTTCATCTTTCTCCCTCTGACATGCTAGTGGACGTAAAAGAAATAGTATTAGGTTTTTTACTTTTACATTGCTAACAAAAATGTATTTCTTGTGAATTAGATACCCATATGCTTTTAAAGTAATTATAACATTTGGCTACTAATTCAAAGATTGGCAATTCAAACCCACCCTCAATCCGCCATCCCCATAAAACTTCAAGTTGTCTCCTTTTGAAAGGTTGCAGCCTTGAAAACCCTGCACTACAAACATGAGCCACAGTAAATGAGGATCTATTCAAGGGCAATTTGTTGAGTCTGGTTTTAAAGTGGAATCAAATCTTTAAGATTTTAGAAGCAAACTCAAGAGAATATTTTTATGAGTTTAATATACGAGAGCAAAGGGGGGGAAAGCACAAACAAAGATGAAACATTTTCTCTATCTGCCTATCTTGACAGAAAGTTCAATATGTGAATACAGAGATATAAATTTGGTTGGTCTCTATAAGCCTTTTCACCGCTTGTTTATTAATTTGCTCTATTATTGTGGCTTGCATGTTGCTCTGATGCTGGCTGTGTATCTTGTTATGGTAAAATTATTTCATTTGGTATTAAAGTCATCCCCAGAAGGAGCTGTGTCTTAATATTGTTTTTATTTTTCTAAAAATAAGGCAGCTGAGCACCTTAAAAATGAAGAACACATTATTTTGCTTCCATGGGAATCAAACTCAAATTTTTGTTAAATGAATAAACTGAGAAATCTGAGAAGCATCTGGTTTATAATCTACCCATCAGTCAATTACTTGATGATGGTTGATAATCATTTGCATGTGTGGGCTATTGATTAAAAAGAGTGTGAATTACAGCATTAACAATGAGCATTGACTGCACGATGACTGCCAAAAGAACAAATCTGTTCTGGAGAAGAGCAGTCATAGTGTTTCTTACAGGCAAGGATGATGGGATACTGTCTCCTATACGTTGGATTTATTATCAGGAGGAATCAGTCCCTCAAAAAGGACATTATACTTGAAAAGGTAGAGATGGTCAGAGAAGGATAGAATGACTCTCAATGAGAGGGATTGACACAGTACCAACAATCAGATTGAGTACCGCAGAAACTGTAAGCAGGGGGCAAGACTGCACAACATTTTGATCAGTTGTACATAGGGGTCACTATAAGTCAGAGTCAGCATCAACGAACAACAAGAACCAACAATACAACAGAACATTAGAGAGGACGAGCCATGAGGACATGGTACAAAGTACATACTGACCACTTGCTGAAACTGAAGAGGACCTGAAGCGCTTGTCGCAGAAGGCCAAGGACTATAGTCTTCAATATGGATTGAAGCTCAACATCAAGCAAAGATTCTCACCACCGGGCCAATTGGCAGCACCATGATGGATGGAGAAGAGATTGAGGTTATTAACAGTTACAACTTGCTCGGCTCCACAATCAACACTCTTGGCACCAGCAGTCAGGAAACCAAAAGACAAATTGCATTACCTAAATCTGCTGTCAAGAGACCCTTCCAGAGTACTGAGAAGCAATGATGTTAGCGTAGATACTAAGAGCACCTGATCCAGCCCGTGGTCTTTGTAATTACTGCTATACTCCAGAGAGCTCGATAATGACTAAGGAGGATAGAAGAATTGATGCCTTTCAGTTATGGTGCTGGAGAAGAATCTTGAACATACCATGGACTGCCAAAAAACAAATGGTTTCACCCTCTTAAAGACAGACCTAAATTTCTCCTTTGAGTCTCGGATTTTGAAGCTCCATC